CCGCGAAGTGTTTTCGAATCGAAGTTTCGATGATCGAATCGAGCGGTTCGAAAGGTTCGAAAAATTTTGAATTTTTGAACTTTCCATATCGAGAAATTCGACGAGAGTCGAATTTTCGAACTTACTAAACTAAGAAGTTCGACGCTTTTCGAATTTTCGAATTTATTACGTTGCAAAATTTTATGCTTGCCGAACTTTCGAACTTGATAGACTAAAAAATTCGACGATTTTCAAACTTTCGACCTTCTTGCACTAAAAAGTTCGAAGCTTTTCGAACTTTCGAACTTTTTACGCTAAGAAATTCGATAATTTTCGAACTTTCGATCTTATTAATCTGAAGAATTCGAAAATTGTCGAACTCTCGATTCCTGAAAAGTCAAAAGTTCGACGACTTTCGAACTTTTAGGGTAAAAGTTCGAAGTTCGTCGAACTTCGAAAAACCGGCGGGCGGTTTCACTTGGATTCAAGCAGTGAGGTACATTCGTAATTTTTTTTTTCGCAATTTTACATGGGGTGGCGCATTCCTTGCGAACGACAATGCCGTTTATTTCAATCATCTGGCATGCTTGGTTTTAGAAAAATAGATTCCCGAAGGAGCGAGGAAGGACGACGGGTTTTTGACAATTGTCGTTTGTGCCATATTTGAAGCGCGCTATAGCCGAAGCTATTTATGGTACAGATGTTACATTTTTCAAGAATGATCTATATATAGCCTAGGTGAGTGTCGTCTTAAGATATGATTATTGTTGTTCAAGACGAGTTTCGAATAAATATCCAAACATGTACCTACGGAAAATTATGCCCTAAACTTGGTAATTTTTTTCTCCTACATTGTTTGGGGTATCATATTTAAATTAACACCAGAGACAGTACATATCATTATCATCTGCAGAATACAAAATAATGGATTTATTGTTTTTTTCACGTTGAGGAATAAATTAACTCATGGGGGAAGATTTCTAAAATTGTTCAAGTTCATCGCGTCATAAAAAAATTAAATATTTTTTCTCATATTACGTTCTTGGGACGTGTTTTTTTTTTTTTTTTTTTTGCCTCTACACATTTTGGTAGGAGAAACTTGTTTCATAGTTCTGGGCCTCTGAATGTGCAAGAATACAACACTTCCGGCGGGTTCTTGACAGTTGTTTTTGTTTCCAGCTTTTTATTTTTGCGCTTATTGTTATGTTTATTTATTGATTATTTTTTACCAATGGCACAGTTATTTAGGTCGAAAAGACATAGCTTTGAATTTTCCAGCCACCGAGCATGTGACGAGCAGTGCCTCCTGAAAACGAGTTTCTGAAGGCCTGTTCACACATGCAGCGGAGCGCTACAAGCATAGCGCTGACCTCGTGCTAAGCACGTGCCGACGGGAGCGTTCACCAGCTTTGTATCGCACCGTCAAAACTGTTGCTCATGGCATACGATAAGTACCTGACGGCACGTGAGCAGCGTTACATCAGCGCTTCGCTGCGTGTGAGAGCCGGCCTTAAAAATGACCATCTCTACGCGATCTTTTATGCTGTGAAGAGCGACAGTAGCTATACATATGCATAAATAATTTCAGATTAAAAGAAGCTCGACCATGGCCTCTTTCCCCGTATTGTTTTCTTTAACAGTCCGAAATATTTTGAGGGGAGGGGAGAAACTGGAGCCCCATCCCCCGTTTTTCCTCTTCCGACGCCACTGGTTATGGTAGAATGCTCCTCGACCTCAAGTTGCGTCAGCTTCTGTGCTTTTCGCTCGGCGTTTCTTCCGCCCCAGAAAATAAAGCTCCAAAGCAATTACGAATACAAAAACTGTCAAGGTGCAGGCGAGCTGGTGTATGTTGACCATGATGCAAAATCCCGAGGCTGGGAATGAAATTCGCAAGAAATAGTGTAAGAAGAAAGAGAAAAGGGGACAGGACAACGTCTGAAACTCAGCTGAGTTGAGTTTGAGACGTTGTCCTGAGCTAAGTTTTCAGCTGAGTTGAGTTTGAGACGTTGTCCTGTCCCCTTTTTTCTGTCTTCTTGCACTTTTTCTTTCAAATTTCATTCCCAGTCTCAGGATTTTGCATCATGCACAAACTAAACTTGCTATGTGCCAGCGTCACTCGGGCGGCGTTCGATCGGAATACTACCAGCGTGCAACGGGGTAGGGGGGCAGTTTGCCAGATCACTTTTATTGTTACACGTCACTGCACTGGTAAATATTCCAGCACATCCGGGGCACTCGCCATCTCATTTAATTGCCTGACCAATTTCGCGCACTCTAAATATCACACCCGAACTTTTCTAAACCTGATTTCGTGAAACCAGTGAGGCGTGAAAACGTTCTTTGAAACTGAAACTGTGGCGGAACATGAAAACCGGATTTTGAACCTTGCGCACTTGGACTTCAAAAAAATCGGAAACCTTCAAAGTTTTTCTTGTTTTTTTTTTCTTGGAATTTAGCCTTAAAAGAGAATCGAAACCTTCGACTTTTCGAACTTTATGCAGAAAGAAATTCGAAATCTTCAAATTTATCGAACTTTATGTCTTTAAAAATGCGAAACGTTCGAATTCTTTTTATTTTAGATCTAAAAAAATTCGAAACAATCGAATCTCTCAAATTCGAAACAATCGAATCTCTCAAATTTCAAACTAGGGAAGTTCGAAATCTTCGAATTTATCGAACCTCAACTAAACAAATATTCGAAATAATCGAAACCGAACTTTTAGACACCGTGAAAGCTTCGAACTTTTCGAATTCGAAACCCCACAATTTGGGGAAAGTTGCGAATTTTTCGAAATCGAACCTCCCTACAGTCGAAAATATCGAAACTTTTCGAAATCGAACATCAGTTCGGTCGAAAATATCGAAACCTTTCGAATTCGAACCTGGGGTGTTTCGCGGCATCCCTAGTCTGCACACTGTCTATTGTATGCTGTACGAGAAGCATGCGACCGCGGCTCTGAGGAGCAGACTCACAACCATGAAAAGGCACATACCTCGCCAAACGCGACCACTTATTTTCGCGTCTATCGACCGACACGCTGTTTACAAACAATCCCGCGTTAGCCCACACCGGTTGAGGACGTCGCGCGTGCGCAGAAACCAGATTCGCCAGAGGCGAAGCGTCTGCACATGCGCAACGCCGACAGCAGCGCCACCGTAGGGGCGTGACGTCAGAAAGCTGAGTTGGTCCCATAGTCTCCGACAGCTTAAAAAAAGACGGTGGCGTGGAGAACCTCGGGCATCTCATTATGGCTCCGCAGCCAATGAGCTTGTGCGATTGGCCAACGAGAACTCCGAACAGGGAATCAGAAAGCCCGAACATGATAACCCACGCCCTGGTCTTTTTAAGCTGTTGGCGACCACAGTCACTCTCGTATCTAGCCTAGAATGCGGAACGCAAGTTCGTCTGATTCTTTTGCAGGGGTTGTGGTAACGTCAGAACGCGGAGCTCTGCTTGGCTCTGATCGTAGAAGAGTGGGTAGACCTCAAAGCAAGCTGCCTTGAGGTCTACCCGCTATTTTTTAATCAGAACCAATCAAAGCTAGGCGTTCTGACGTCACTACAACCTCTGCAAAAGAAGCAGACGAACTTGCGCTCCGCAAAGGAAATTGAAATTGCTCGGTAAAACGTGAAGCTCTCGGCTTACTAGCGTCACGTCCTGGCTATAATCACTGTCAGTTTTTTTTTTTTTTTTTGAATGCAGGGTGTGATTTGTAAAGATCGCACCTCGTTTCTCGTCAACTGAGCTCGGGAATAGACCGTTTTTTTCAAAATTTTGAAGTGATGCATCGATTATGTGCGGCCGCCTTTAGTTGGTCATGCACTGCGAGAACGCATTGGACAGGAGCGCTTCGTCGGCATTTTGCTGTGCACTCGGCGCGAACTCGGAACCAATCACGAGCTTGACGCAGAAAGGGGTGAGAACAACTAATGGCCGCTGCGCATAATCTATGCATCATTCCACAATTTCCGAAAGGGTCTATTATTATCAACTGACGGCGAAATCTCACTCAATGCAGAGCATGGAGAATAGAAGGGTAGGAGAGGGCATGACGTCGGCCGCGTAGCCTCCGCAAGCCATGCTCCCTTGACGCCTCGCCTCTTTCTCATTTTCCTCCTTACTCTCCTCACTTACCTTGCCAACGTGACCACATCACGTGACCGTAGCTCACCTTCGTCTTGCTATGGGGTACTAGAATACACCACAGTCTAGACTTCAATCTGATAAAACCTACCGGACGGAGCGCGCGCAAGCTTGCGAGGAGTCCTTCTACAATCAACCATCCATCTCACACGTGACATGTCACGCGCACCAATCGCCAGAGAGATCTGCGGTCACGCTGGGCACAAAATCGTTTAAACTTTTTATGACTAGGCTTCACCAATATTGCAACGTGCCCCCTCCTAGTACTTCTAACCTCCTTGATGCAGAGTGATCATTAGAGGCCCAGGAGCCTCAAGCTCTGCGTTTCGTAAGCCGGAAGTGGCTATACATAACAGAGGGTTGTTGAAGCCTTAACAACACATAACTCCGCTGTCCCTTTTTGCTACTAGGCATTTTTGTACTTTCTTGGGACGGAGTTTTTGCGGAATCGGTTGCGGGGAATGTTCACGTGTCGCGCACCTTTGTGGTAATTGAAGCGAGAAGAACCCGCGAAGCAGACTCGAAGGTCATGGCTCCAAGTTTCCCTTCAGCCGGTTTCAATGTGAAAGCACGTTAGACTGGTCTGGCCTCTTCTAATCAGCACTACGCGATGCGTGTCAAAACCTCCCCCCGTTAGCAGTTCTACGGCAGTGTGAAAATTCCCTCTTTACGGTTGAGTCATTTGGCGCTATCTTAAGACAAACCTACTTCCCGTCGCCTGAAACTCCACAGGCATAAAAAAAAAAACAAAAAAAAACATATTGTTTAGTTTTTACTGACTTAAAGATCTTCAGGTATATTATTTCTACGTTTGGAACGATTATTCACATGCTTAGTGTGTTATATTAAGCCTTAAAGCATTACTATATTAATAAAGATGGCGACTTCCTTTCTCAACTTTACATTTGGCTTGGATTTGGCATTTGGCATTTGGCATTTGGCATTTCGCGCATCTATGATCGTCGTTTTAGAGGGTATTACTCCAAGAAGTATAAAAAAAAAAATAGATAAGTAACATGGCCTTTTTGAAAGCGTAACACTTGCAAAATTATATGGTCGTTTATTTTTCATTTTCCGCAAGGATCGAATCCGCCCCTACAGCAGCGTTACGGAGTCCATGAAATTTGCGAGACATCACTGCCGCAACCCCCCAAAAATGTCACCTTTCAAGAAAAGAAAGATGAACGAATTTCGACAGAGACAACGCCCTGCCTAAAAAGAGAAGTGGGTCTTCTTAGCACCATCGCTCTGCTAATCGGACTAGCCGTTGGTAAGTATTGAAAACGTTAAAGTTATTACGGAGTCTTACTAGATCTTTCCAGTAACTTTGATAAAGATTCCTGATAACGTTAAAGTGCGCGAGCGAAGGTGTCGATTGAGTATTGGGTATTGCTATCAATTTTGGCTTTTTCAGAACGATTTAGTAAAATTGTTTTAATGTTCAAATGGGGCTACATCATTTTATGAGCAGAAAACCTGCCCGTCTATCTCTGGCCACGCCGTCTAATATTATTAGGAGAAAAACTGGGTGAGGGGGAAACCTGGATTCCGTAGGTGAGAATGTTCGGGGGTGAACGCGAAGGCAGGCTTGTGGTCTAGGTGGCATTGAAAAAAAAAAGTGTAAAAAAGACGTCATTATAATCATCCATCTTTGCCCTACAAGTATATTTCCAGACACTGGCCTCTACGCAACTGCCATTATCGAAGTTAACTGCTTGAAGCAACTGGACGTGTTTTTTTTTAATTATTACTTGTCGGTTAAGGGGAGATTCCAGAGCGTTACGGCACGCGAAGATATTGCTGTGTGAGACTGAGAGTCACGCTTACGCTAGACTTTATTCGCTCTATCCTTGCCACGCCGCAGCGCGTTACAGTGCAACGGACTCTTGCGGTAGTATCTTGTTGTTGAGAAGCCCTAGGACCCGAGGTGTTGCATGAAAGTGCACAACCCATAAACCAAGGCCTTAAATATGTCTATGCTTACCAAATCGTGCATGCTCTCCTTGAGATAGAGCTTCACTCACAAGAATAGAAATTCGCCAATGATTTTAACGGTGAGCTCTTTTTTTTTAGGTGCTTTATTGTTGGTTGCAGGTTGAAAAAGCGAAATTCAGGACAATTTCCTTCCACAAAGGTCTTTTTTTTCTTTTTGAAAGAAGTGAACACTGGATATGACTCGAGTGGAGAGAATGAAACCACCAATCCTGACGAGCGGAGAGCTTCTGTGGAACGGGCCTTTCCTGTGCTTTTCTTAACCGGCAGCCGACCTTAGCTCGCGTGCTATAGTTTACCTAATCACTCTTATTTGAGATACGGGTTTTGACTATGCAGGTTCATCCATATTTACGGTACCAAGTATCGTGTTTGTGAAGACCGGTTCGGCCGGGGTAGTCATCGTCCTGTTTTCCTTGGCGGGAGTCAAGGCCCTGATGGGTGAGAGAACGCCTCATTTCTCTCGACCTGTCCAGCCGCTGCCACACTGCTCATACACCGTACGAAAGAGAGTCTGCAAACATTAGGGAGTTTTAGGGAACTGTTTTCGCGCATCCGATACGGTACGGTGGGTCCACCGGTTCGAACTGCGCTTGCGTGAGTCTTCAGCGGTGGCGCATGCGCAATTCGTACAAGGGGGCCCGTCCATACAGTATATCGTATGTCCGAAAACGGTTCCCCAAACCTCTCTATTGTCTTAAGCGTGTTTCTTCCTTCTACGACGGCCTTGTTACATCGTTCGTACAGAAACTGCCTGAAGACTCGTGCGAAGCATACGCTTGCATGAAGCAAACTCATGATTCGGAAATGCTTGAGACGTGGCTGCGAGTTTTTTTTTACTATCCTAGACGTTTGCACTGTCGGTAAAGGAATTTAGATTTCCCCGCGATATACATATAATGAACATCTTAAATAGCATCTGCATCGTTCATTCAGAGTATCTGATAGTAAACAATCCAGATGCGCGAACCGCTTTAAATGAGAGAGGTTAGGAAACTGCCGAATGCTTAAACGTGGCAAGCCCGGATCTGCCGCATATTGTTTTCCTCGATAGTTTCTATTGAAATTGGTTGGCTTTATGCGCACATACTTAGATTATTGAGTGATAACATATAGTATGCATAATTATGAAGTTTGCATCACTATGCTACAAATAGGCCATGCGCCGATAAACTGAGGGAGGCGACAAGACGAGAGAGCGCGGGAACGTCAGAACACCGAGCTTTGATTGGAATGATTAGTGGGTAGACCCAAAGCTAGCTGCCTTTGTCTCCACCGCACTCGTCGAACGTGTTAGAACGTGAAACGCCGGCATTCGGCGTTTGGCTTTCTGTTGTCAGGTATACTGGGATGCGAAGTTACACTGAACATAATGTCAAACCAACCAGCCCAAATCCAAGCATCGTTTGGCTTTCGGATTCGAACACGGTCGACGAGTCCAGTGGGGACAAATGCAGCTCATCTCCACTGCCCTCGTCGAGGGGTTACAACGCGAAACGCCAGGGTCCGACGCTTGACTCTCGCATTTGAACACGTTCGACAAGGTGCGGTGGAGATGAAGGCGGATAGCTTTAGGTCTACCCACTAATCCTTCCAATCAGAGCTCGGCGTTCTGACACCCCCGCCCGCTCTCGTCTCCTCCTCTCCCCCAGTTTCTCGGCGCTAAAAACCAAGGAGATCGACGTTTGCCACATTAGTGACGATGGGACATTTTGCAAACCAAACTGAATTTACCCGATATAGTACCCCTGCTTTACCAGCAGAACAAACTTCTTTCGGCAAACGCCGATGGGCACGCGCAGAGTCGAGATCGAGGGCACATTCGCCGATACTTTAAAGTAGTTTGTTCTGAAGGCATATAACTCTCACAAAGGGGTATTATATTGTCCTTTCGTGTTACTAAAATTTTATCTTATTACAAATGGCAATACCTATTTGGGGCGAAAACATGTCAAAGTGCAAATGAACTGGTGCGTAATAAATATGATGCTTAAACTCTGAGGGGAAGGAAACTTGAAATATAAATTAGGTCGGGCAGTACAAAGATGGAAGACAAGCGTTGTCTGTCACGTTTTTGTTTTCTGCCCCTTCCCAGTATCAGGGTTTGAGCATTATGATTATTACTTATAGGGACGTTAATATGACATTTGCGCTTAATTAAAAAAAAATTGTACATATCTTGACACAAAGAATACTCGCACTTTCTTCCGGCTCGCCACCAGCATTGTTATGACAATAGAAACAGTGGGGTCTGTAGTGAACGCCTGCAATACGCAGAGTTTGCATAAATATTTGGATGTAAAAAGTTAACGAAAATTGGATGCACGTTCTTCGTTTCCGAAAACAACCTTAATGGCGCTCTAACTGGGAGTTTTGTATGGGCAGATTCGAGAATCTTTGGGGGTGCCAGCTGTAGCAATTAACGCACGCCATCAAATGTCTTCCATTGAGCGCACAGATAAAACCCCATCATCGCGAACAAAAAAAAGCCTACGAAAGTTTGTCTCAAGCACCTAGAGGAAATCCCCTCGACGCTTCTGGCCGCAAGCGTTGTCAGCGTCACAGGCGTTGACAACACTCCTGGTGATGGTGCTTGGAGCACGTTTCCGACTGGTCTGTTGACCGCGTTCTCAGAAGTGGTTCCTCGATTTCCACCTGATGACCTCATAAATGTGTTACGGTGTTGTCTTCCTCGATCCTGGCTGTGACACAGCAGCCAAGGCGGAAGCGGCAGCCGTCTGTCCTGCTATACAGGTCGCTCTGCCGACAGGCATTCGACGGAAAGCTAAGAGGCACGAGATGGGACGCCGCGACGACAGCGACCCTTGCGTCCGCTGGCATTTATCACCATCATTTCTACCACCAACCCAGGATCACGACATCCGACGGCTTGACATATAGAAAGACGCCTCCTGCGCCAGTTGGTTGCAAGTGCGTATGCGCTGCACTGTAAGGGGGGGGGGAGAGAGAAAAGCGGGTGGAAGGGCTGAGACGCTAGCAGACGATCAACGCTTTCGTTAGCTCCTAGCAGCTCCTATTGCAAATCCAGCTTATAAACAACGTGACCCTCATCGAGGAGTTGGAAACAAAGAACAAAAAGGTCGGCCACAAACAAGCTGGTGAATATTGCTAGACATAACACAACCCCGAGACTGCAGGAAGCAAACAAGACACGAACACAGTAAGTCTCTAACACAACTATCTGGTGTGTCATATCTGTCTGTGTGGTTCTTGCTTCCTGCAATCTCGGGGTTTTGTCATGTCTAGTTGGAAACTCTCTGAAGTTAAGGCTCTCTAGCATGGCACGCAGGCTTCTGTGACGCAGTTGGTTGCTCCTTTGGAACCACGTTCGAGGCGTGGGCAGGGACGGTAAACACACTAGTCAAAGGAGAGTTTTAGGGACCCGTTTTTTGAATACCAGATACGGTACTATGGGCCTTCCGGTACGAACTGCGCATGTGCTCCCGCAGAAGATACGCACATGCGCAGTTCGTACCGGAGGACCATTGTACTGTACCGGATGTGCAAAGACGGTTCTTTAAAACTCTCTAATAACGGGTTCCTGGAAACGTAGTGAAATGCTTCACGTGTACGTCCCGTTCATTTATTTTCTGTCTTGCTTTCAGGAGGACTGTGCTATGCAGAGCTCGCAGCGCTCCTACCGGCCTCTGGTGGAAATTACGCGTACTTAACGGCCGCCAGCAAGTCTATGGGAAAATACGGTGACGTCATTCCCTTTATGTCCGCGTGGGTTTCCCTGACCATCTCCGAGCCAATGACTGCGGCGTACCAAGGGCTGACGTTTTCCAGCTATGCCCTTAGCCTCGTCTATGGTGACTGTAGTCTTTCTTACAGCGCAAACGTTATCACGGCACTTGCCTTCACTGGTAAGTGAAGTTTTCGTCGCCGATATCTTTTTGTCATCGTTATAGGTTTCAGAATGGTCACCAATAGCAACGGACAAGACAAGAACGGCAAGGAGGTCTTTCAGTTTTATACGTTTTCTAGCGCGACCTTCATAACTTCAATAACACTTCGGCATCTCGAGAGCTTCGATCGTGCACACGTAGCCTGGAAGGTATCGAGCGGGTACTGGAGGTCGGCCATCCAAAAACAACGCTCTGCCCTTCTCATTTTTTCAGTTACTATATACAACGCTGTCTACTGCCCCTGAGGTAAATTTGCGCGCTCAGTCTACCTGTGAAACTGTGCCGTGTAATACAGCGGGCAAGTGTTTTAAAATGTGTCTTTTCGCTCATCGCAACGCGAGTAAGAGCATACCAATGAAAGGGCAACATAGGAAACGGCCACGGAACGCGAGATGGCGAGGCAGCCAAGCGCGCACCGTCATTGGTTAAAATTGGGCAAGAAAAAAGCACGCTTGTTGGTTGGGTGGGGTTGAACAAACGCACGAGGTACGCAAATAGCTGACGAACTTGCAGGCCGTATAGACCATTGTTAAAATCACCTTCTGCTCGCTGCCATCTTTGTCTGCTGGGGCGTGGAACGCCTTCTAAGCATGCTCTATTCATCTGCTGCGCGGTGTATTGGACGCTGCGCATGCGTTCACAGCTCAGTGACTGAATTGTCGCCCGGTTGATAAGCCATGCAAAGGCCTATAGATTCACGGCGTTTTTGATCAATGAGATCCTTATTTTTGTTTTTGTAAAAATTCTGCACAAAGTTAGGAAATCGTTGAAAATTTATAAGTGGTAAAATGCGAGATCGAGGTTGTTTTAACGCTTTGACTCCTAGACGTGCACTAGTTAAAGGACAAGGCGAAGGGAGCCTACATTTAGAGGGTAGGGGGGGGGTAGGTTGTCACATTAGTTTTGTGCAGATCCCGGAGATAGCCAATGGCGGCGAATAATACTTTGTGATTTGCTATGATCCTTCTCTTATATGCTATGATTATCTGTCTCGGTGTATTGCGGGACAATTAGCTCACGCAGCTTTTTAGAGTGTGAGAAAAGCAAGACTATTTTTTTTTTCTACTTATAAATTGAACGTTCAACAGATTGGGGTGTTTAACGTTAGGGTCATTGCTCGGACAGATGCCTCCCAAGTTTTAATCGAAAGACTGAAAACAATGATTTGATTTGCGAACAGAATACAATGCACTAAGCAAGACATGCATGCATATTGCAAGTATGCTTACGCATTTACGTTTTGTTTGAAGTTATAATTGACTATTGCTTTGCTAGTTCCAACAATAACACCTTGTTCAGTACTCGCTAGCGAACTGAACCGTATGTCATTGCGTAAAAATGCCTGTCTAGCTCTGGGCACTGCTGTGAACTGCTTCTCAGTGAAGACATCGGCAAGAGTCCAAGGCGTGTTAACCACAATCAAAACCTTCGTGTTGGTCTCAATCATCATTACCGGTGCAGTCTGGGCCTTCCGAGGTAAGCTTTGGGATCTCCCGACCCTTGAGAAAAGAGTATAAATCGTCTCGTGTTTTCTTCTGCCGTAGCCAACAAGCTGCTCGAAGCTCCCCTGTTTGTCGGCGTAACACCATCAAATCTTGCGCAAGCGTTCTTCGCAGCTACCTCGTGCTACGGAGGATGGTACTCAGTTTCACTTGACCCTCTCAACGCTTATTGCCTTTTTCGCATCCGCGTCATGTCGAAGCGCCAACTAGCTTGTTTTCGAATAAGCCTAGTCTAAGCGGGGGATTTGTGGTCGAGTGTGTTAAAGCACCGCAGCTCCGAGCGCGCGTAGCATTATCATACGCTACAGAACCCAGGGGTCCTAAGCTCAATCCCCGCCCCTGCCCGTCTCTATCTGAAAAAAAAAAAAAAACCAGAGACTGCAGGTGAAAACGATACATACATAGCAGTCTCGAGGTGTTTGCATTCTTAATGCACTAGCTCGTTTGCGCTCTTGCATTCAGCTCGTGAATGAGCGTCGTAACGGCGTGCGGCCGTGTATAACTGCCGCGTGATGCACGTTCAAGACCCCAGGCTCCTGGTTCCACTGCGCTGGTTAAAGTTCTCATCTAGAGCTGATACAGCCCATTGAGACTGACTGACTTTCCGTTTTTTATAGCCGATTCACACGACGGACCAAATCGCGATTTTCGTCCGCGGACCGTGTACCACGTGACCGGCACGTCACCGATTCCTGCGATCCGCGCCTCCTCCGCGGAGGCGCGGACTGATAAAGTCGAGCGCCTTTTTCACTCGCGGACGTTTGGCGGCAGACTGACTTGGAAAGCATTTAGTCTGGCAACGGTACATGGTTTTCTTGGTATTTGGCTTCTGTGCGTTCAAAACAAAAATGGCGCGTCGTTGCGTTTTGTGCGTTTGTTGGTTCATTTACGTTTGTACGATATTTGGTTCCACGCGTGAGAGAAACTCCAGAAACTTTGTCCGGCTGACGCGACGCAGGTTGCGGTGCTCCTCCGGGTCCGTGTCAAGAAGCTCCCGTCAAAACTAGTCTAGCACGCCGTGATAATTCTTGCACGTCCGATCAAAATTTCACCGAGCAAGCCCTCTCTTGTGGATGTGGTGTGCTTGAGTGTTGTGCACGAGCGCGGAGTGCGTGAAGGCATCTCCAAACGCCCCTCTGCGAGCCCAGAAGTTCGTCGCGTCTACGCCGAAGCTTTCTCGGGCAGGATCATGCCTGTGTCACTGTCATGCTTTGGGTTAGTAGAGTTAGTGGCGCTTCGCGCGAAGCCTGACCCGGTGTTTTGTTCTCGATCTGTACGTAGCAGCGGCGTACGATTCTTTATCGCGGTAGCAACCGTCGATTTCTCTCTTGGACAACGGTGCTACTGTGCGATGTTGGAGTTTCGCGGCACTGTGGGGTGCGAACAGGTTCGGTCCGTCCTCACTGGCGTCTGCTCGTCGTCTCCCTCGTGTGGATGCGCTTGGGAGACGGACGAACCGCGGATATGTCGTCACGTGATCAATCCGTCCGCGGATCAGTCCGTCGTGTGAATCGGCTATTAAACGTACACACCACACAATTACTGCCATACGTTCAGTGGCTGGGTGGCAATACGTTTGCGTATCAAATAAACTAGGACACATGCTACTCCTGTCTCATGCTTGCGAACACTCTTGGTGGTGTCCGAAAGAACAGTCCTTTGTCTGAAGAACTCCTTACCTCAAAATAACCTTCAGCTGACCCTGTGCGTCATGCCTTCTAGTTCCTTTGGCATGCGACGAATTAAATTGTGTCATCTTTTTTGATAAATTAAACATCCGCAGGATGTTCCGAGTTTATGGTTAGTAAAAATATTAAAATATATATCCAAGAGGTTTTTCATAGTTCCTCACATGTTTGTACATAGGCCATCTTAAGCGTATCTTTCTGAAGCAATGAGACATAAAAATACAGCTTGAAAATATAGATAACAAAAAAATCAAAAGCAAAGAACCCTCCCTGAGGGTTGATTCGTGACATACTGACTTGGAAGCTTGGCAGAGTGAACATTTGAGTTCACTTCGAAAGATTCGATTTCGTACAAATAAAAAGTTGTTAAAAAAATGAAAGCCGTTTACAACTTCCTGTAACACCGAATTAGAGCGCAGCTCTTGAGGAGGAGGAGGGAAGGGTACTGAGGGTCACCTGTTCTCGGAGCGGGGGGGGGGGGGGGGGAGGGGGGGGGGGTGTCGCGTGACTTGGGGGGGGGGGGGGGTCATGTGACCTTTGGGGGGTCGCGTGAGCCCCTAGAAAAATTTTTCCGCTAGATTTAGCGGGGAATTTTTTCTGCTAGATTTAGCGGGGAAATTTTTCCGCTAGGTTTAACGGGAAAATTTTTCCGCTAAAGCGGGGAAATTTTTCCGCTAGATTTAGCGGGGAATTTTTTCCGCTAGATTTAGGCGGAAATATTTCCGATTGATTTAGCGGGGAAGTTTTTACGCTAGATTTAGCGGAGAAATTTTTCCGCTAGGTTCAGCGGGGAAATTTTTCCGCTAGATTTAGCAGGGAAATTTACCCATAATGCACCGCGCGGTTACGCCGACGGCGACGCTGCTCAAGCCGGAAACGGGCGCCTAAGAGCTGCGCTCTAAAAACAGGTTTGCACGCGTTTGAACATTTTTTTTTTTTGCTTTCTTTTACTTTGTTTGGTGGGTCGGCTTTAAAGTTTTGGGAAAATTCAACTGCACGTATTTTCAACCGCTCCATACGTTGCTACCCAAGAACAGAATTTCAAACCCTGCGCTTAAGGATTTCCTCACTTTTTGACATTCTTGATGATTGGGCTCTACTTTTAACTTAGAGATCGTGAAATTGCTCAGCTGGTGAAGACACGTTACTTACGCAAACGAGTAGTCAGCCGTTCTAAGCAAATTTAATCAACAAATGCTAAGGACAATCAGAAAACACCTTATGAGAAATCAAGAGAAAACGCTATGATGCATGTCGATAGCCTTTTATGTTCACGTTCCGAGCATAATGTCACACATCAGGGCTCAGTTCTCGGTCAAGATCCTAATATTCGCATGGTCCGCCATGTCTCCTTTGCAGACTCAAGAAACTGCTTTGCTCGAGCTCTTTGATGAAGTAGTTGCGTAGAATCACTGAGAGCATACGCGGAGAGCAAGTCGTCTGCTTTTTGCGCAGGAATTGCAGTGACGTCAGTACGAGGCCCAGCTCCAATTGGCTTTGATTGAGAGAATAGTGGGTAGGCGTCAATGCTAGCTACCTTGAGGTCTACCCACTATTTTTTTTTTTAATCAGCCAATAAAAGCTTGGCGTTCTGACATCATCGCAACCTCTTGCAAGAAGTAGGCGAATTTGCGCTCCGCATAAAACGCAAGACATAACAATATCCGCACAACTTATTACCGCCCCTCGGCCAATGAGAGTGTTGCACTAGCCAATAAGAACGCTGAAGGACAAACCACAAAGGAAAAAAGCGCGAGCATAATGAGTCACCTTTTGCGTTCATCCAGTTGCCTGCGACCATAGACACTTTAGAGCGTGTATAGCGCATTGCCTATGGACGGAGAATAATTAAAGACATAAGAAGCTAACGCAAAATAAGGATTGGGTGAATGCGTCCAGTTAACCGCTGTTACCTAAAAGGTGCAGCGGGCGAGGTCAATGGTCGTCAAGTTTCTTGGAGAGTGAGGCGTTATGCACTATAATATTTCCTAGCAGTGGCCGGCACTGTGTCCAGACGGCCGGCGCTTTCTGTGTGTTGGTAACTTGCTGTGACGCTACTAAGCCAAAAAGACACTAAGATATGATATGTGAATAGTCTAATGCTCCTATATCTTGTTTTATTATATCTCCGAGCGAAGTCAAAGGCACAAATCGATACAGCTACAAGCACATATACTAAAAGCGCACGTCACTATAGTCCTTCCCTGTACATCAAGGGTTTAGCGACGGCAGAACACGCACAGAAACCTAACAAAGGCTACGACAGTGAGAGCTTTTGACTGTTTTAATGTATCATAGGCTCGTAGTGTCGGATGCGCCCGGACGTAAGGTGAAACGAAGTATGGCAAACAGATTCCTTCCTATTGAACTCGCAGCAACTCCATCACATATATCGCTGAAGAAATCAAGGACCCCACGAGGACCATTCCGCTGGCAATGGCGATCGGGATCGTCATCCTGACTCTGGTCAACGTGCTGACCAATGTTGCCTTCTTTGTGGTCCTGGACGCATCAACGGTCGCAAGTTCCGATGCCATCGCTGAGTCCTTCGCGATGGCGACTTGGGGAACAGCAGCGGCCTTCTGCGTTCCGCTCGTCGTGTCTGTCAGCGCCTTCGGAAGCTTGTGTGCCGGCTTTTTCAGCGGCTCTAGACTCAAGTTGGCCGCCGCAAGACAGGGTCACCTGCCTCAAGTCCTCTCGTTCATAACAGTGGACTCCTCGGTGCCGTTGCCGTCAGTGCTGTTTAGAGGCTTACTTGCACTTGCCTACACATTCGCGGGTTCCCTAAGCTTCATTCTCGATGGCGTTACTTTCGTGTATGCTATCAATGACATCTTCACCATGATTTCTTTTTTTGTGCTTCGTTCGTCAATGAGAGACGTGCTGAGGCCGTTTCGGTTGCCGACTGTGATTCCTGTTTTGTATTTGGCGGCACTTCTAACACTGGTAGGAGTAACACTCTCCAGCCCATCTGGATATCTAAAGTATCTAGTCGTTATTGTAGGCTATTCAGTGGGCTTTGGTTACTACGTCCTATTTGTTAGGTTCAAAACCCACCTTCCGGGGGCTGAAGGAGCGACTGTTTTGATACAAAAGTTTCTGATGTGCATGCCTTGTGTGAACGAGCTTGACTTGATGTTGAAAGAAAAGTTGTGAACGGGAACAAAACGTACTCCAATAGAACCAAATAATACTTGACATTAGGCACTTCACTAGGGTCAAATGTTATTTTTAGGTAACGTTCAAGGGTTCATTTAAACTAGTGGTGACAAGGCCTTAATTTTTTTAATGTAAATATTCCGTCAAGATATTAAAATGATTGCAGTAGTTGATAAAAGACCAATTCTCACGATACCTAAACAAATATTGTAAGTTTTAGTCGAAGACGGCTTTTAGTAGCGGTCAGTAGTGAGCTCGACAGGTGATTTCGATCAGGTTACTTTCTTTAACAAGTTTACGTTGACGGGACGGCGTGAGTAAGTGAGAGGGTCAGTTGCATCTCGTGTTAGTTACCTTTATTTCTTTCTTCCTTGCGTGCCTGCCCACGATTAAGACGTTCCTGCTTGTGTCTCGTGGTGCTGTCATAGTGCGAATGAGTGACCATATTAAATTAGGAACACAAAACTGCCATAAACAGAGAGGTGAAAGCTACCCGCCATAGCGACAAGAGACGCCACGGTGTAAGCATTTCGCAAAAACCAAACCAAGCAATTAAAACCTTTTCAAAAAGAGGGCGCCACCTTGTGGTATGATGCGCCAATGATCCGCGTTCGTCATTGTGTCATTGTTTGGGTACGTACTCTGAGCATGTAGTGGACGCGAGGCTTGCGCCAGCGTTTGGGGAGGACTCGGGTCCAATCACGTGCTTCGTGCCCCAAAAATGGCGATTTCCAATGTTGCCTTATGAATTTTACGAAGGTGTACATTGAGAGCGAATATACCGATTGTAATCACGGTATGCGTGAAAACAACGCTTGTTTATTAAGGCACCCACAGTCCGTACACAAAATCTGAGGCGCCTAAAATACATTCCAAAATACCTTTGACACTATGAAGCATTCGCCAAGCGGGAAACGACAAAACGAAGCTTGACGACAACCGAGTTAATATATAATTTGCTATGAAGTGTTGCGCTCACAATGTAAAATGTGATAAATACGAGCGAAGGCGTGTCGCCGTAATTGCAAAGTGCCTATATGCATTTATTACGCGATGTCACGGGTGCGAATGGCGAACATCGCTATGCCACTACTAGAACTACCGAAAAGTAAAACTCAAGCAAGTTTTTTTACTTGCACATTCTCGCAGCTTCACGTTTTGCCACAAGGGGCAGTTAGAACTCTTATGCTTTCTCGGACAAATGAATGCACTACTTATATTGAAAGCCGCTCATAATGGACTGTCTATATGCCAGGTTAGCCCTGGTTGCTCTTTGCATCGCATTAGCGCTCCGGTCAATGAAGTTAGGTTTCCTCAGCAGATACAAGTCAGTGCAACCAAGTGGGTCGCAAAAGATTGCACGTTCGAACTTACGTTTTCCTCAAATGCACCTATATTTTCCGCATGGGTAATCAATAAATAACAAAATTATGAGAATGGCACGCAGTGCGTTTCTTTTAGACGACGCTCGTTGCCTTTGGTTGCGCATGAGCACTGGAAGCTCACAGGACGCCGATGTGATATCGAGGGTCCGAAGCACGAGCTGGAGGCGGGACAACTGGAGGTCTTCCCTGCCTTTCTTATCATGCCAGTGACTAGAACGGTAAACAGCACAGACTGGCGGGAAATAACCGAAGGTGATCCAGCGAAATCAGTTTCGATGTGAAGCGATGGTCCAAAAATGGGTGCCCTCAACCGAAGAGCTTTGAGCTGTATTGCTTACTTACCAGACTGGGCGACGAAAAACGTGCTTTAAGCCGTACTCGTCGCCGTGCTTTCCGAGCTACAACTTTTTTTCCCCCTCGCCCTTGTTCATATTCAATAAAATAAACGAAAACTGACATGGCTCCTGCGTTGTTTCTTCTCTCCCTTCTACCGAGGGCAGACTATAGAAAGATCAAACAAACTACACCGATGTCACATAACAATTATAACAATTTAATCAGTCGTTTCGACTCCCATACAGGAGACATCACCAATGAAGCCAAGTCGGCAGGAACGGGAGACAGCCCAACCAAAAATCATATACATAGCTTGCAGTGGCGTCACGTGGTCAGACATAAGACATAATGGAGGAATAGCGGGTGAGACGGTAGCCTCCGCTCCGTTAAAGGGGCCGTGCTAGGACATTTTTACTGGTCTTGAATTTGCACCGAACCTGAGTGCACTGAACGTGGTAACTTAATGAAACTTTTCTTTTCTCGAATTTTGCTTTATTTTAATTGTTAAATTTTAAATGAGTGGCCGCGAACTAGCGGAGGGGTAGTGAGCTCAGCGAGCGCTCACAGCTGCCGCAATCCGTGTCGACGGCTCGAGAGGGCGCCACTAAAGTATGTTCTGGATAGGCTGCATTAAGCGGGCAGCCAGGGCGGCTCGCATTGCATTTGCTGCGTGACTAAACACTAATTCGGCATGACACTTCATTGGCCACAAACGACAGCGAACACGGGGTAAGGATCAGTTCAGAACGGGAGCCACTTCGCGCTGCCATACCGCGAAACGGCCAAACCGCAAGCCAAAGCTGCTCGCCGAAGGCCATCGGAGCGCTCGGAACCGGTCGGATCCTCCTGTCCATATGACCGCAGCGCCGCCGCGTACATCCGGGACCTTTCTACGCTCGCCGCTTGTCGGTGCCTGATCCCACTACACCTTTCTAGTATGCGCCGCCTTTCCACCGCTTGGTGGCGGGTATGTCGACGGGTCATTTCTTGCTGCACACTTTCTGAACTGCATTTGTTCCTTTTATAATCTAAAATACCGAACAAAAACCACTTTTATCAATAATTGAAACGGTTTGACTAAAAAGAAGCTTTTAGCGGCTCTGACCATGAAGCCCAGAACCAAAGACGTCACATATCGCGCGCTTTCGGCACCGCAGGTCGCCCCCGTAGGTTGAGGAGGTTTCCGCGTCGTCCGGTTAAAATATGACGCACTGATATTTAGTTACTCTCTCCGTGCCCGCTGGCTTGCCCGAACCTGGCGTTCGATTCTGTATGCAGACTTTTTTTTTGTGTATGATATATATGCAGTGTGACCCCGACTTTACGTTTTATCGCCCATTCTGTTTTAGTAATTTTCAATGAGCATGACGTTTGCTTTAAAGCGCCCGTGGGGTGTTTTTGAGATCGCCTAAATAAGACAATAACTCACTTTTCTGGCTCTAAGCATCCCAAAAATCCCTAAATCATGACGATACGTGGCCGATGTCCCTATTAAGAAAGCAATCATAGATTGCAACTATTTCACAAAACTGCCAGCTAAGTAAAAGGCCACGGCAGGAGTACGCACTACAAGTAGAATATATGCTGAGTACATAACAAAGTGGATCGCCGAATGAAAAAGGGGAATAAATGACATTAAACACACAATACACCACCCAAATGTTTTCTTAACACTTCATAAATCTACAGGTAGCGTTACTGACATGTGCAATCAATTTTACATTTCATAAAATACTTCAAAAGCCCTTACACCTTCTAATGCTGTAACTGACAAGTTACACTTGAAGACAGTACATTCTTTAAAACAAAGGAGTTCAAAGGGAGTCACTGCTTCCATGACTCTCTTTGACACTTCACGACTCTCTTAGAGAGTAAATTTTTAGTGTGACTCTGTTTTGACTCTTCCCCTTCTCAACGGGAGTCACAGGTCAGCAGCATTTGCCCTACCGAAAAAAACAAAAGTATGAATCCTGCTTCGCGGCGTCCATCCGGCAACCCAAGCCCCGCTGTTTCCCTATGCACCTCTGGAAAGGGAGTCCGACACCATTTAGTTCAAAGCTTTGTCGACATTTTATTTTCAATAATAATTGTGCAAAAAAACATAAAAAGGAAGGAAAAAAAAATAATGCACTTTTCTCAAGAATAATTGTAAAAAAAAAAAAAAAGAAAAAAAGACATGTTTATTTTTTGCATCGAACCCGGGTTCGCTCCGTAAGAAGCGGGCATCTTTCCACATAGCTACACCTGCGAGTACTCGTTTTGAGAATTCGTTTTATACGAGATTCAACAAGTTTCGCGTCGTGCATATTATTCGAAACCGAATCCTGCGTCTGCATTTTACATATTTCTAGAACTGTCGTGGGGTGCGTCTCTGGGAGCGAGTGAAGGTGCAGCAACCTATTCAAGACTATACTCCGTTTCATACGTAGCATGCAACACAGTCACCGGTTTGCATCGCCAACCGTGTCTACGTTCACCCCATAAAATAGTGCGTCCCCTGCGAAAACACTTATAAAAAAGTCGAAAAATGTGCCTCCTTGGAGCTAGAAACTGATAGTGGTGTTATGATTTCGACGGAGCACACATTTTTTTCAATAAAAAAGAAAAGATAATGTAAACTACTTTAAATTGTTTTCGTTTTCGTCCGTGCGGCAGCAGCTGCGGGTTTTCGGGTTGTGTGGCACTGGCTGGTTTTGAGAAGATGGCGTCTTACGCAACAAGCTCAAGTACCTCTCCTGCTCGGATATTTTCGAAGATTCGTTGTGCGCAGACCTTGAAAGAGTGCAAGCAGGTGATCGCCAACGTGTACGCGAGTACGAGAACACGTTTCCCGGAGAAGTCGGTCGTGAAGTCCTGGAGACGATCAGTAACAACGCCGGAGTGTGCGCCCGTACTGTCGCGAAGTACGAGGCGCAGTGTCTATCTGGCAAGCTGGCGTCCCCGAAGCGAAGACCTCGCCATGTAGAAGTTTTGAGCACGGGGGCTGTCAAGCATGCCGAATTCACACACAACGCCATTCGCCTCAAGGTGCATAGCAAGTACCCCGAGAGGGGGATTCCTAGCCTTGACAGCTATTTCAAAATAAACTGTTCAGGCCACAACTATTGTCGATTAACGTCCTATTATAAATTTTGGGGCAAGGCTGCTATCAGTGAGATTCCTCATTCCACGCTGCGCGAAAAAAACAAAAAACAACTCGGTGCTGGAGGCAAATAACACTTGCAAAGCGGCAGAGCAGATGGTAGAAATGTGGCCTCTCGGCGACTTATAAATGAA